GGCACTGGCTCTGGCCTGTACCTGTGATCCATGTGAGGGTGATAAAGAAGGGACTTTCATGAAAGGAAAGGGGGAGGATTTATAGGAGGAGTATATAGAGTATATAAAACATGGCCAGTCTTTTGGCTTTTGTTTGTTTTGCTTGGTTTTTCTTTACCCTTCGTTGCTTTTTTTGAAAAACTAACGGCCACAAGTGTGGCATCTTGCACATCGGCCACACGCCTCCATCACCACCCATTTTGTTACGTATGAATAGATGACATCGGTAGTAATTTTTTTGGTTTTCGGCTTCAAAATATTTTATCTCCTAATTAAAAAATCAAATTAAAAATCCGTTTTCACCATTAAATCCATCTCGCCGAGATCTTCAAAACTAGACCCTATGTTGATATGTTTCAACGAAAAAAAATTACCCAAAAGTTGCCATGTTACACTGTAGTTGCCATAGTGCTTAAATTAAAGTTGCCATGTGGCAATTTTAGTTTGTAGAGCATGACAATTTTAATTTTTTGATGATGGCAATTCCAGTACTTTGACCATGAAAATTACTTTTTTTATGAACCATGGCAATTTTAAGTGCATGTATCGTGGCAATTTTAGTTTATGGTTCATGGCAAATCTAGTTTCTTAATTCCTCGTTTTATAGTATGTCAAAATTTACTTTTAAATGTAGAAGAAAATAGCTAAAACATATCATGGCAACTTAAGTGTAAACATCATGGCAATTCATATGCAATAGACATGGCAACTTTTAACCCAAAAAAATCATCGAAATATATTAATATGAGATCTAGTTTCGAAGATCTCGTCGCGAGGGATTTAATGGTGAAAACGGATCTTCAATCGGATTTTTCATTTAAGAGATAAAACATTTTAAAAACTGAAAATCCAAAAAAAAAATCCCACGTGCATGCGGTGATGTGGCGCGGTCTGTGTGTTATAGGACGTGTGGGCGGGTTTGGCTCCCATCACACGTGTGGGCGTTAGCGTTGTCCTTTTGTTTCGTTCATGGTTGATCTCTCATATAAACAAACGCGGTTTCTCTTTCGGTTTCTAAAGTCTGCTAGTAAAGAAACATCTATGCTTAATGGTTATTCTTTTTCTGGTGACAAATATCATGTGCAATGTCACGTCACCACATGCACACACTGGCACCATGCTTCACTATATTAGATCATCCGTTGCGTTATTTGTGCAAAGAGCAACTTTAGCCAGCAAATTAAGTAAGCTATGGCGGCTATGCAGTGGATTCCTTTTATGAATTATCCCCAAATGGCATTATCAAGAAATGCAACCAAAAGGGTAGATGAACAATAAGTCTTTTTTCAAAATCATCCACAAAATACGATGCCAATGACTATTGTCATGTTATGCCATTTCTCACTCATCCTTTGTTAGGGTAGCCCGTTAAGATCCTGGACTTGTCCCTTCTCCGCATCTAGCCACTCAAAACCACTCACTGCACCCTAGAGTGTGCATCAAGTAACGACTGTGGATGGCGTGAACAGGCACAAACGTACTCATCGGGTGGACGTCACACCTGCCATGTGATAGGATGTGATGATCAGCAAGGCTCTCCCCGCCTCATCTGCATTCATAAGTTGCTTCGGTTCCTATTACTTGAAGACCAATTGCAACCACTAAGCAAAGCAACGATGAGGCCGGATGTGCTCCAACCACAGTGTTAGCCTATGTGACGATATGCCAAATGAACATTATGTCGTGGCATACCATCTAACAGTGTCTTGGACTAGGGGGTACTCAGTTCGTCGGCCTGGTAGTTCTGGGCCGGGCCGAGGACCCCTAGACCATCGAAGAATGGGTCGTGTTTACCATGAATGTCAGCATACTCAAGATGGAATCCTCCGAAGACTCGGCGCACACTTCAAGACATGTTCAAATCTTCGGCAAGCTTATCCCTAGATGTAACTGGCCTATATGTAACCCTAGGTACCCCTAGTCCCTATATAAGCTGAGTGGTTTAGTCCATAGGGTAGAGAAGTTAGATACATACACATACGATCTCGAGGTATATCACCCTGTACTTCGTACCTCCGTCACATCAATACAATCAAAGCAGGACGTATGGTTTCAGCTCTTTGAGAGTGTCTTAACCTAGGTAAACATCATATCCCTCTTCTGTCATGTTACCATCAAGCTAAGATCCACAGCTCGGGACCCCCTACCCGAGATCCGCCGGATTCAACCCCGATAATGCTTTCCCATGCAGGTCCCGTTGTGTGTTCAAGGTAGCTCGATGGCTCATCTTCGGATTGACGACAGTATTGGCAGTGGGAAGACCTTCTTTCTCAGACAACTTTTGGTCTTTGGCAGCGTCACACTCTACGCGATATAACTGGTCACCTCGGCCAGATCAAGAATCTCACTCCAGGTCAGGCCATCAGGTTTGGAAACTGGAATACGAGACGGATGCCCACGATGAACTCGCATTCTCGGGCTGGGTGTTAGACCAGTCCGAGGACATCACCGACACTGTCACGCCTATCTCGGATTCAATCTCGGATCAGGACTACGGCACAGATCACACTTTGTATCTGGCTTCGACCTCGGAGCCAAACACTGCCTCGTCGGATCAGATCTCAAGTTTGGCCGACAAAATCCTAGAGGCCATGTCAAATGGGACCTCGGACAAGCTTCAACTAAGTCTAGTCCTCGATCAACGTATGGGCGAGGCCGACAAGGCGCTTCTGAACCAGATGTTATATCGGATTTAGAGCCTCACTATCTTGGATGATCGGGCCTCGGTCTACTACCAGATTTGGGAGAAATCTAGAGAAACTAGAGTTTTCAACCCACCCTCCACCCACCTAGTCCTTGTCGTCGAAGACTTAATCGATGTTCTAGCATACACCTCCGAGGAGGCAACCGACATGGATGAAGATGTCGACGAAATGTCGGACACTACCTCGCCGCCTACCACCACTAATACCAGCAAGTGGGCAATTACCTCCACCTATGATGTCTACATGGTGGATAACCCAAAGGATGGAGGAGGAAGCGCAAAATCGCCCAAGCGCCGACATAGGGGACACTATAACGGAGGCATCGGCAATGGCGAGGCGAGCAATGGTGGCACCGGAAACGAAGACACCGCCAACGACGATGCTGCTCGGGACGGCAACAACGAGCAGAATGCTGGCAATTATGCTGGCGCCAGAACAACAATGATGATGATCCGATCAAAGGGGACGATGACGACCCCGAGGATGTCGATTATTCTCCGGAGTCCGAGGAGGATATAAGCGTCGGTCTCGATGAATTTGATGTTAGTGAGGAACCCACTGAGGCGCCTCAGCTGAAACTTTTTGTAGGCGATTGGCCAGCATGGCCAAGAGCTTTAAACAAAAAACAAACCAACAGCTTAAATCTGAATAAGACGAGCTTAACAAAAGATGGGTCGAGCTCCTCAGGGTCGAACGGGATCTTGAGGACAAGCTTCGGAAAACCGGGGCCAATAGATTCACCCCTGAAGGAATTTGCTCCTAGAGCTTGATGAGGACGGCAAAGACAGTGTGTTATCTAAGCGCGAGTGGGCCGAGTAGCCCGACCGCCCACCCAGGGGCCAAGATAGGTCGACCCACGGAGAGAAGAATATCCATGAAGCCCCTTGGCGTCGAGGTGGAATAGATCCACAATGGCCCCTAAAGAAATATGATTTGAGGGAGAAGCTACCTTCAAGGCCAGCGGCTCCATCTTGGTCGATTTACAAATCAAGGGAACACCCACTTGCTAGACAGGCGGGATACCTAGCTTGGTTGGCCAAAAACGGTTATGTATATGATTACACGTGCGGCCAAAATGTAAACATGTCCAATGTTCGTCACACTTCCGCCAGGGTCCAAGGAGTTGCCCATCCCATGTGCTTCATAGACAATGTGATGCAGCACCTATTCCCAGAAGGGTTTAAACCCATAAATATCGAGCAATATGATAGAACAACAGACATGTACACATAGGAATCAGACTTGCATGTCGATGAGTATGATAATTGGCAAGAGCAATAGGAGTTGTCTTTATTTATTGTATGACCTGCGTGTCACTGAATAACGCCATGTAATTACTTTACTTCATTGCTAATCCGTTAGCCATAGTAGTAGAAGTAATAGTTGGCGAGACAACTTCATGGAGACACGATGATGGAGATCATGATGATGGAGATCATGGTGTCATGCCGGTGACGATGATGATCATGGAGCCCCAAAGATGGAGATCAAAAGGAGCAAAATGATATTGGACATATCATGTCACTATTTGATTGCATGTGATGTTTATCATGTTTATGCATCTTATTTGCTTAGAACGACGGTAGTAAATAAGATGATCCCTCATAATAATTTCAAGAAAGTGTTCCCCCTAACTGTGCACCGTTGCGAAAGTTTGTTGTTTCGAAGCACCACGTGATGATCGGGTGTGATAGATTCTAACGTTCACATACAATGGGCGTAAGCCAGATTTACACACGCGAAACACTTAGGTTGACTTGACGAGCCTAGCATGTACAGACATGGCCTCGGAACACAAGAGACCGAAAGGTCGAACATGAGTCGTATAGTGAATACGATCAACATGAAGATGTTCACCGATGATGACTAGTTCGTCTCACGTGATGATCGGACACGGCCTAGTTGACTCGGATCATGTATCACTTAGATGACTAGAGGGATGTCTATCTGAGTGGGAGTTCATAAGATGAACTTAATTATCCTGAACATAGTCAAAAGGTTTTTGCAAATTATGTCGTAGCTCGCGCTTTAGTTCTACTGTTTTAGATATGTTCCTAGAGAAAATTTAGTTGAAAGTTGATAGTAGCAA